AACAGAAGCAGGCTCATCCCTTCTCTGTGGCCTGGCCTTTCCAACACTTGAGCACAGCCCTGTCTCCCTGAGGCTTCTTATCTCTGGGCTCAGCATCTCTGTCCCCTTAGCCCACCCTTATATAATGTGAATTCGAAACCTCCCATCATCACTCTGCCTTCTGAAACTGGTGTCCAGAATTCAACTCAATCCTCCAGATGGAGTCTGAGGAGGACAGTGCTTATTGGACATGGAGGACATAGATGCTCCATCGATGACCTCCATCTTCCTGTCTGAAGACAGCCCTGAATCCCCAAAGCTCTTTTGGCTGTTACATTCCACCCTGTTGACTTACACAAGCTTGCTCTCCTTTTCAGACCCATTTCTCTCTCTCTCTCTCTCTCTCTCTCTCTCTCTCTCTCTCTCTCTCTCTCTCTCTCACTCTCTCTCTGTCTCTCTCTCTCTCTCTCTCTCTCTCTCTCTCTCTCTCTCTCTCTCTCTCTCTCTCTCTCTCTTTTTTGGCTTTTTGGTGAGGCTATTATAGTTAAGTGCAAGGTCATACAGCTAGTAAGTGTCAAGTGTCTGAGGTCACATTTCAACTCAGCTCCTCCTGACTCCAAGGTCAGAGTGCTATCCACTATGCCACTTAGCTGCCTCCATCTCTGTCTTTTCTTTTCTTTTTTTTTTTAAGGCAAAATTTTTTAAATTTTGAGTTCCAAATTTCTTTCCCCCTTCCCCTCCCTGAGAAGGCAAGATATTTGATATAGGTTATACATGTGCATTTCTTTTTAAAAATAAATTGTATTGTTCTCTTTTCTTTCAAACTCACCTCCATTTCCCTTCCCACTCCTCCCCCTTCCAGAGGCAATTGGGGTTAAGTGACTTGCCTAGGGTCACACAGCTAGTAACAAAGAATAAAGGAGGGGGGCATGGAATAGCTCAGCAAGAGTAAGCATCATATTGAAATCTGACATTAGGGTCCTCACCTCTGCAACTGCCAAGTATATAAATACTTTTTATTTAATAATAAATAAGGTACTGTCAAGACAAAACCAACCATCCTTGCTCTCAAGGAGCTTACATTCTCTCATGTCACTTAGACATCTCAAATTCCACATAGCCCAAAACAGAACTCATTGTCTTTCCCCCCAAACCCACTCCTCTTCCCAACTTCCCTGTTACCATTAAGGGGACCACCATCCATCATCCCAATCCCTCAGGCTGGCAACCTTGACATTATCCTCTACCCTTCAACAGCTGGATGGTTTGCCTTCTTGCCTCAAGTCTCTCCCTACTCCAGTCTATCCTGTGAGAATCCAGTCAGCTGTCACAATGATCTTCCTGAAGAGTAAGTTTGACCAAGTCATCTCCTTACCCCCAACTCCCTATTGCCTTGGTTGGCCCTTCCAAGCCCTTCACAACCCAGCCCCTTCTTACCTTTCTGGTGTTTTTAAGCCTTATGCACTCCCCCACACACATACACTCTTTGATCCAGTGATCCCCAGCCTCCTGGATGTTCCACAAAAACAAGACCCTCCATCTCCGGGCTCTGGACATTCTCTCTAGCTGGCCCTCATACCTGGAAGGCTCTTCCTCCTCAGCTCTGTCTCCTGGCTTCCCTGAAGTCTCAGCTAAAACAACATTTTCTCCAGGAAGCCATTCCTGAACCCCCATTAATGCTAGGGCCTGACCTCAGCTGATCATCTCTGATTTGTCCTGCTTCTAGCCAGGCACAGTGCTAAGCACTAGGAATACAAAAAGAGGCAAAAGACAGGTCCTGCCTTCAAGTAGGTGACAATCTAATGGGGGGAGACAACATGCAAACAAATGTATACAAAGCAAGCTATAGATGGGATAAATGGAACATAATCATAAGAGGCAAGAATTAAGAGGTGTTGAGGAAGACTTCTAGTAAAAGATAGGATTTTAGCTGGGACTTAAAAGAAGCCCAGAAAGTCAGTAGGTGGAGTGGAAGAGGGAAAGCATTCCAGGTGTGGAGGACTGACTACCAGAGAGAATGCCCAGAGCCAAGAGATGGAGGGTCTTGTTTGTGGAACAGCCAGGAGGCCAGCGTCACTGGATCAAAGAGTATGAGGGAAGGGGGCAGTAGATAACATGTAAGAAGACTGGAAAAGGTAGGAGAGGGTCAGGCTGTGAAAGGCTTTAAAAGCCGAACAAAGGATTTTCTATTTAGTCCAAGGGGTGATAGGGAGCCATTGGAGATGATTGAATGGGGGAGGGGGGAAGGACTGGGGGTGGAAGAGACTTGGTCAAACATGCACTTTAGTAGCTGAAAGGAGGATTAGATAAAGACTTGAGGCAGGCAGACACTCCCCATCCCGACTCCCCTCCTGGTCCCATGGCCATTGCAATAATCCCTGTGTTAGGTGGTAAGGGCCTGCCCCCAAAATGGTGGCAGTGTCAGAGGAGAGAAGGGGGCGTATTCTAAAGATGCCACAAAGAAATCAATGGGCCTTGGAACAGTTTGGATATGGGAAGAGAGTGAGGAGTCCAGGATAACTCCTAGGCTGGGAGCCTGAGGGACTGGGAGGAAGGTGTTACTTTCGATAATAATGGGGAAGGTAGAAGGTAGGGAAGGTTTAGGGGAAAAAATAAAGAATTCTGTTTTGGACATATTGAGTTTCAGGATGGATACAACATATTCAAAGATAAAAAAAAAATCCAAGATACATGCAAAGATAAATATCAATTGATTTGGGAGTAGGGCCTACTGACTGGGGAAGATCAGGAAAGGTCTCTTGAAGAAGGTGGCATTTGAGCTTCCTTGAAGGGACCTAGGGGCCCTAACAGGTGGAGTCCGATTCCTAAACCATCATGAGCAACAGGAGGCAAGTTTATGTCAGCATCTCTCGGTCCCGGGTAGATAAAATTGTCTGCACCTAACATATGCACAATCAACTAGCATGGGGCGCACACCCCCATCCTGTGAGGCAGGCCACTAGTAGCCAGCTAGCCAGCCTCCCCGCCTGCTTGCCTACGGTGCCGGCTCCACCAAGGTAGGAGGGGAGGGGGGAGAATTCACCAATGGAGACGCCACCACTGTAAGGCGAGAGGGGGTTTGGCCTAAGATCCTTAAGCTTCCTCCCCGAGGGGTATCCAGGGATGCCCCTCCCTGAGAACGACCGAAGGGGGCCCAAGTTCAGAATTTTCGTGCTCGAGTTCTGATGGAGGGGCGCTGGGCTTTGACCCTTCCTCACAGGCCGACTTTTCGACCTCCACCCCCTTCCCAGCCAGATGGTACAGTCCGAGTTTAAAAGGCCCGGGCCGGCTCGGCGGGCGCAGTGTGTGGGCGGCGGCGGCGGCGGCGGCGGCGGTGGTGGTGTCGGTGGCGGCACCCAGGTAGCCACGGACTAGCCTTCTAGGGGCTGCCCTGACCTGCCCATAGCCACTGGGCGGCTGAGCTACAGCAGGGAGCCCAGGCCGGGGCGCCGCCGCCGCGGGGCCTCGAGGCGCGGGTACTCACACCCCGCCCCCTGGCCCCGCCTCCCCCTCCCCGGGCGGCCAGTCTGTGTGTCCCCCATCCGGGGCCTGGCTCGCGCTGGTGGGCCCCCCTCACGCCGACCATTGTAGGCATCAGTGTTTGGGGGGCCCCGGTGTAAGCTTCCAGGTTGCTGCCCTCCCATTTCTTGCATCCAGCTCCAGGTAGGTGACCCCTCCCCCGCAGATCGGGGATCCCCCTGCACCCTGGGGGCCTCGCCTCCCCATCCCAGTTCATCGCGCCATCCCCAGTCACCTGTCTGCCCCTACTGGGAAAGGAAGAAGTGGGTGCGGCCCCAGCTTGCCTTCCTCCCCACCCACCCTCTCCGCTCCACACTTGGTGAGATTTTCTTTGAGGATTGAGTGTTGGGATCGGGGCAACAGACCCTCCCCCTCCTCGAAGACCCTGGAATCCATGACTTTCCACCTCCCTCCTATGGGGGAGGGGGCTTTTGGATCGATGTGATCACTCGGGCTAGTTTTTTTGAGAGGGATGTGCTGGCTTTGTGCTGTTCTGGAGCAGGGGAGAGAGACCCCAAAGTAGGCCCAAAGTACTTTGGGTGAAGAACTAAAAGGCTTGGATATTTGTGGACTGAGGCTCTTTGTGTGGGGAGGGAGAATTGGATGTATGGAGCTGGGGGAGCTGGGTATTGCTTATGTCCGATCTTCTGGGGCTGTAGATGAAGCAAGCTGTCTGTATGTTCGTTAGTTCTAGATCTGGAAGGCGTCTTAAATCATGGGAGTCCCATCAGAGGAAAGCTCCCTGTGTGTGTTTCTGGAGCTGTTTGTAATTGACTCCCGCTTCGCTGGTAGAGAGAAGCTGTCATATAATAGGAGTGAGTGGGTGAGGAGGCCTGGTCAGACCCAAAACTCCCCTACTCTCAAGCAGAACCCTCACACCCTCCCCTCCCCAGGTTATCCACTTCCCTGCTTGGGCCCATGTGCCACGTTTCTGGGCCCAAATTCCTTATTTAGGTAGGGAGGGTGGTGGGTCATTCTGGGGTTCCAGGGAGCTGAATAAACAGATATAGTTTTAATCTGGGCTCCAGCTTTGCAGGTTTATCCTCTCTCCCAGAACTAGCCTGCTTTCTGTTTATCTTGGATACTGGTTTTTTTTTTTAATTTTTTCCCCCCTTTTGACTCTTCCTGGGCCTCCTTGAAGCTTGGCTGTAGAGTCTTCGCTTTCCTTCGTCCAGACAGTAGCTCTCCTTTTCCTTTCACCCCCACCCCTTGGCACCCTTCTGCCTGTGTTATCAGCTTGTTCTTTGCCCCCCTCAACCACAGAGGGTATGGGCAAAATCAGCATCGTGGTTCTCACTTCATTGCCAGTGCTCCTGGAGCTGTTTTCCTCCATCTCTGGGCCCTGTGGAGTGGGTGTGGCCTAGAAGGAGTGGACCGATTCATTGTGGGGCAGCCAGAGCAAGGTTGCTGCCTCCAGGCCAAACAACACCTTTTTCTTTAGGTCTGTGGCACCTCCAGTCAGTGATGCCTCATGGCCTACATCCCTTATCCCCAAATACAGCAATACAATGAACAGTATCTTCCACTGTTTGCCATCCCTACCCATTGTCAGGGTATTCAAGCCCACTAAATGGCAATGGTGCCTACCCAGGGTAAGAGAGGGGGTGCCCACTCACAGTAGTTAGGGCTAAGAGAAGAGAGGCTTGGGATTTTAGGGAGTTGGGGAGCTGAGATTGGGCCAGGGGAGGGATTGGCATGGAAAGGCAGCTGGGGGAGAGTGCCATACCTCCCTGACTCCCTCCCATTACACACAGCTGGGGGGTGGCATTGGTGGTTTGGAGTGATTTGTGTAAGTTTCTCTTATTGCGCCAGCGCCAGGACTGCCATGGTTCCTCTCTTATAACCCTCTCCCTACCCCACCCCCCAAAACAATCTGATTTGGAGGTAGGCTTGAGAAGATTGAGGCCGGGTGTCCATGTTCCTGCTGCCATCTATGTTCTTCTGTCTTGGTGACTGTCTGGGAGGCTGTGTTGGAGTGACTGAGTGTTCATAGCTGTTTGTGTGTCTTCATGATGCTGAGTGTATATGTGAGATTTACTGACCTGATGCATTGTGGCTGAAGGAAAGCTGCCCCCCACCCCACCCCCAGCCATGCTCTGCTTTGTGTCTGCATGAGTGCTGCAGGTGGTGGGAAGGAGAAGCGGGAATGCAGACTCCAGGGACTGGGGGGGAACGACAGCTCAGCTATCTGCCCTGAGCATTGTTGGGGATGGAAAGTAAGGGTTCCTATTCTATAGTCTAGGCTTGGGGGCAGAAATGGGGGCTTCGGAGCTGTAGTCTTACAGCTCCATCTTGGTTCCACCCTGCTTGATTGGGAGTTGGGGGGGGCGATGGGGGCTAGAGCTCTGCTTCAAGCCAGGCACCCCCCCACCCCAGGAGCTGGCCAGCCTTAGCGACAGAAGCAGCTGTTGAAGAAAGGACGGCAGCAGCTCTGAGGTTATCGTGCCTTACAGCTCCATCCTCCCCACTCTGCTGAGCTGTTTTCTGCCCCATACTGTGCATCCCAGGAGGAGAAGCACCAGCCCCAGGAAGAGGGAAAGAGCCAAGTCCTAGTGGGTGGCGGGTGCTGCCAGATATGCTGGCCCAGCATGGCTCTGGCTGGGTTATGTGCTACTGCTGTCCTTCCCTCTCATCCCACCTGTGACTCGATGGGGTGTTGGGGCTCTGTAGGCAGATGTGGGCTCTAGGGATTTAGTCTCTGGGGTCCTTCTTTCCATTTGGGCAAAAAGCAGGGAGGGACAGGGTTTTCGGGGACCCCTTGGGTGTGGTCTTCCTCTCCTTGCTCCCGCCTCCCCTGGGGCCTGGTGTGGTAATGAGCTATCTCACTAGCCTATTCCCTGGGAGGCTGAGGGTGATTTACAGCTACTCTGGCTGGCTGGCTGGCATGCCTGCTTTCTCCATTGCCGGCATGGCCAGAAGCCTGCTGGCCTACTCTAATGATTGCTAATCTCAGAGAAATCCATCGCCATCACTGGCCCTTCTTGTCCTTCTCTGCCTCACTGATCTCTCCTCCTCCATTCCCTCTCATCCCTACTCAGTGACCAGGCCACCTTCTTCCTTCCTGAGCATCATCCCCTTTGTTCTCTCCTTCCCTGTAGAGTCTGGCATGTGGGAGGAATGGGGCAGGGAGCTGGATGTTGTTGAAGGGTAGGCAGGGGGATTCAGGGCAGACCCTTGCTCTTCTTCTGTACACGTTGGAGTATTTAACCGAGTGTATGACAAGTAGGAGGCTGAGCTTGCTCCTGGGGAGGAGGAGGGTGGATCGAGGACAGGCTCTTTCAGTATGTTACTGCACCTAGTACGCCTAGCCTAGTTGGGTGGCCAGTGGTGGCTGTGTGATGTCTGAGAGAGTAACAGCCCCCAACCTTGTTCCTTCTTTCCCCAAGTCTTGCCCTAGGGACTTGGCTCTGCTTGCAGCTGCTTGCCCAGGACCAGCCATGGCCTTGGGAGATCCTGTAGTGCTATGTACGAAGGCATCAGCCCCCTTCCTGCCACTGATGCTGTTGCTGCTGCTCCTGCCCATTCCCCACGAGGTACTATCAGCTGTGGGCCCCTTCCATACCTTCTCTGCAGCTGACACCACCTTGACCCACCTGGCTGTGCACCGGGGGACAGGGGAAGTGTTTGTGGGGGCTGTGAACCGGGTATTCAAGTTGTCCCCAAACCTCACAGAGCTCCGTGCCCACATTACTGGCCCCATTGAAGACAATGCCCGCTGCTATCCCCCGCCAAGCATGCGGGTCTGCACCCACCACTTGGTACCCACCGACAACATCAACAAACTGCTGCTCATCGACTATGCCAGTCGGCGCCTGGTGGCCTGTGGCAGCATCTGGCAGGGCATCTGCCAGTTTCTTCGCCTCGATGACCTTTTTAAACTGGGTGAGCCACATCATCGCAAGGAACACTATCTGTCAGGGGCCCAGGAGCCAGACACCATGGCTGGGGTCATCGTGGAGCAGGGATCAGAGCCCAGCAAGCTGTTCATCGGCACAGCCATTGATGGCAAGTCAGAGTACTTCCCCACCCTCAGTTCCCGCAAGCTCATCCGAGATGAGGACAGTGCCGACATGTTCAGCCTGGTGGGTAGCCTGGTGGGGTTGGAAGGATGGTCCAGGGTGTGGGCTACAGTTGGCCATGAGGGTGGCATCATGGAATTGAGGGGGAGGGTTTGAGTCTAACTTGCCTGAAGAAAGCCACCCCTGCCTGGTCAGGGATGGGTTGAGGAGGGTTGGTGATCGAATTACAGTATATTTCAGAAATCAGGGAGAAGCTAAAAGTCAGTGAATCTTCTTCAGGCTCTCTTCTGGGGAATGGATGGGCATTTGCCAGCAGCTTTTCCTTCTGAAGGATAGGAGGCCCTAGATCCTCTGGCAAAGAGTGGGGAAGGTCCTAAGCCATCTTAAGCCTTTGGACAAGCTGTTTCAGACTCCAACTGATGTCTTCCTGGAACTAGGCAACTAGGAGCAGCTTGGGTTTGCTGGGACTGAATGCTAACCAAAGAGGATTCAGAGTAGTGACTCTTTCTCTGGCTCTCTCCTCACTCCATGGGAGTTCTGGGAGCTTGGCAGTGGTGCATGAGTACATGTCCCATGTTTATGGAATCATAGACTAGATTGGGCAAGGGACCTTGAGTCCAACCTGGACCTAGCCAAAAATCCTACATAGGATCTGGTAACCCCCCCTTAGGTGGCCAAGTGGATAGAACACTGGGCCTGGAGTCAGGAAGACAGAGTTCAGACTTGACCTCAGACGCTAGCTGTATGACCCTGAGCAAGTCACTTAATCCCTGCCTGCATAAAGAAATGGAGAAGGAAATGACAAATCACTCCAGTATCTTTGCCAAGAAAACCCCCTGGTCCACGAGGTCATGAAGAGTTGGCCATGACTCAGTAACAGCAACACAACCACAACCCCCCTTTGAATACCCTCCCCCTCCCCCAACAAAGTCGGCCAAGGCTCAACTCATTTCCTTTTCACACAGGATTGCTGGACTGGTAGGTCAGGGAAAGGGACTTACTGTTTTATATTTGGATTCTTGTAAGACATTGGGCAAAGCTCTTTGGTGACAGCCTTGTGGGCAGATATCAGACACATTTGGGATTTGACTGGGAGCCTCCTAGGGAGACACCTGGCAGAAGGCCAGCAGACTTCGCCTTTTGACCTGTGCTAGTCAACACTTGTGCCAGTGACTTAAATGAAACCAGTTCCTGTGCTTTAGGATCATATATTGTCCCTGAGGCCAGGGATTACTCTTGGTTTGGTATCTCTGTCCCCAGCACTTAGCCCACTACCTGGAACAGAGTAAACAATTCATAAAGGCTTGGTGATGGACTGAGTGAGTGTTGGATGGTAGTACAGTTGGCATTCTTAGTCAAGCTGAGAACATGTTGGCCTCATGTCCAGATTCCAAAAGCTCCCTCCCATCCCCCCAACTAAGCCAATTGGCCCTTTTCTCGCTTGGATTTGAAAAGAATCCCTGGGTCTGTCTACCCATGTTCCTATGTGTGTATGTGCCTATCTCACATGCATCATGGCTCGGTCATTTCTTGGTAGTCTCCCTCTGGGGTTCTTATCCCCTCTACAGTCCAGAACTTTTCCAAAAGGCAAGTAGTGTGTGAACCTGGGAGTCAGAGGTCTGGGTTTTCATCCCAGTTTTGCCATTAAGTATCTTTGTGGTACTGAGTAGGTCACAGGGCCTTCTTGGGCCTCAGTTTCTTCATCTGTAAAATGAGAGGGTTGAACTCGATGGCCTCTGAGGGCCTTTCTGGCTTCAGGGCCTGGAACCCATGCATGGCCTTGGGCAAGTACTGGGCCTCCCTGAGACTGGATTTCCTTCTCTGTAAAATGAGGTTGGGTTTGCTGGCCTCTGAGGGCCCTTCCAGGTCTCAGGCTATGCTCATTATATATCAACAAGTAAGAGGAAGGAGCACTGGAGAAAATAATTGAAGGAAGTTTGAACTTGCCACCTTAGGCTTGGAGGGGCAATTTCTAGAGCCATTTCAAATGGGAGTAGTGGAGGGTTTTCCCCCCTCTCCCCAGCACCTCTAAATCAGTTAAGCATGGTGGTTGGGGGTCAGAATTGACTCACCTTTCTTCCTCTTCTCATTTCCCTTCTTTTCTTTCTTTTCTTTCCCTTCCTCAGGTGTACCAGGATGAGTTTGTATCCTCCCAGATCAAGATCCCTTCAGATACCTTGTCACTGTACCCGGCCTTTGACATTTACTATGTGTACGGCTTTGGGAGTGAGTCTTTTGTCTACTTTTTGACACTGCAGCTTGATACCCAGCAGACCCTCCTAGATGCAGCTGGCGAGAAATTTTTTACATCCAAGATTGTGCGCATGTGTGCTGGTGATTCGGAGTTCTACTCCTATGTGGAATTCCCCATTGGCTGTTCCAGAGACGGCGTGGAGTTCCGCCTGGTACAGAGTGCCCACTTGGCAAAGCCTGGCCCCCGACTGGCCCAGACACTGGGGGTGTCAGAGGATGAGGATGTGCTCTTTACCATCTTCTCCCAGGGTCAGAAGAACCGTGCTAGCCCACCCCGCCAGACACTCCTTTGCCTCTTTACTCTCAGGGACATCAATGCCCACATTCGGCGCCGCATCCAGTCCTGCTACCGTGGAGAGGGCAAACTGTCTCTGCCCTGGCTGCTGAATAAGGAACTTCCCTGTATCAATACAGTGAGCATGAGATCCAGATCCCTCCCTCTCCCTCTCCTTGCGATCTTTCTTCACTCACTTTTCCCTTTCCCATTCCAGGTGGGCAGATATTGGAGAAACTGGGGGTTGGAGGTGGTGGGTATCTGGATAGCAAAGTGCATTCACTCTGGACACATTTGGGAGACCCTTGAGCAGGTTTGGTATGGGGCTCTCTTAGCAAGGTAGGGAGTGGTAGCCAGCTGGTTTCCTTGCAGCCTCATAGACAGCAGGTCTTAGCGTCTTCTCCTCCAAGGACTGAGGAGAGCAAACTTCATCTGTTCTTTCTACCCCAGCCCATGCAGATAAATGGGGAACTTCTGTGGCCTGGTCCTGAACCAGCCCTTGGGCGGGCTACAGGTGATTGAAGGGCTGCCTCTGCTCGAGGACAGATCAGATGGGATGGCCAGTGTGGCCGCCTACACCTACCGCCAGCATTCGGTCGTCTTCATTGGCACCCGCAACGGCAACCTCAAGAAGGTAAGGGTTAGGGGCTGTCTGCTACACGGGAAATGGCTTGCTGGCTTAGGAGGGGCCTGGTTTGCACAAGGGAGAGCCACACTGGATTTCGCTTTGAATGCCATCTCGAAGAGTTGTCATTTTAGTGCCAAAGCAGGGTTTTACAGGACAACTCTGAGGCAACATTTCAGCAAGCTTGTCAAAGTGTGGCAAAGAGGACATATGGCAAAGAGATCCCTGGTAAGGTAGAGTTAAGGTGAACTGAGATTAGGGAGGGGGTCCTGGGAGCAGCCCTGAAGGCAGGGAAGGGTTGGGATAGTCTGAGTGAGGGCATTTTGGGGAGAGACAGATGATGGGAAAATGAGCCTGGCTTGTATTCAGGAAAATGAGCAGACAGTCTAGGCTGGAGTGGAGGGACCCAGCAGTGGAAGGCCTTACTGAAGAGTTGGGTTTTTATCTTGTAGGCAATGGGGAGCCAGTGAAAGACATGGAGTGAGTTAGGAGCATGGTGACAGTAGCTGTGAGTCATATAGATAGAGGGTAACTTTGAGGTTGCTGGGAGAAAGGAACAGCTGGATAGGGAGGGTCAAGGAGTAGGGAGACCAAGGGGAGATTCTGTACAAGGCCAGAGCTAGTAGTGACTGTGGGGTAAGTCAGGATCAGGATCTTCATCTTGTCTGTGCCATTGTCCTGTGTTTAGCTGGGTTCCCCCCTGCCCTGATTCCCACTAATACTCTTAGGAACTCATGGCTGCCTTACTGTGCTTCCCTTCTCTGGATATCCTGCCTACCTCCTGAGGCTTCTGGGAAGTTCAGGTGGGAGACTGGTTGGGGAAGCCTTTTAAGAGAAGCAGAGAGGCAAGACATTCCAATTTGGGCTTTGATTAGGAGATGGGGGGAGGAGTTCAGCTTGTTCTTAGACTCACATGCCTATGTGTCAGTCACCCTCTCCATGTCTGATGCTGGCACCTCTCTGGGGCTTGGGGCACTTGGGCTACCCTGTTCTCCCCCCCAACCCCTGCCTCCCTTTCCCTCTCATGGCCTTCTTCTGCCTCCTGATCTTTAAAGAGGTTTGGGGTGGGTGGGAAGAAGGATGTCTTTTCTATGAGGTAGCCAAGAAAAGGTGACAGTTGGCTACTCTAGGGTGCCTGACTTAGCTTAAGGCCTGGCCGGCCTTCTTTCTACCCCTCCCAACCTCTTTCAGATCTCAGCTTGACTCAGCTCCTTCTTCCTTCCCCTCTATCCTAGTTCCCTGTTCAATGTGAAAATCCCCATTCAACATCCCATTCCAAAGTGTGGCCCTCTGGGGCGGGTACTTCTCCTTCTGTGATCCTTGGGTCTATAGTCCTCCTGACTTACAGTAAGGGGGCCACTCTTCAGGGAGGGGATGCTGAATGCTCCCTGGTTGGGCGTGGTGGGGGTGGGGTGGAGATAGGAATCCTGGGAACTCCCTAGATTAAGAGATTCAGCTGTAGGCTAATGGAAAGTGGGGCCCTGTCTGTGGACAGGGTGTAATCAGTCTGTCCAATCTGGTGATCCTCCTGAACCCTTAGCCTTTTACTAGCTGGGCCCCTTAGGATCCCTCCCAGTCCTAGGGTTCTTGGACAACCTTGGCACCTTACAGCATGTTCTTTCTTTCTCCTCCTAAGGATTCTGAGATGTCTTAAAGAAACTTAAGGGGCAGAGCCAGGATTATTTCCTTCCCCAGGGACAATGCCTCTTCTTCATCAGGGGGCCAGATGTTCCCATCAGCACTGCCTCCCTACCCCCAAGAGATAGCCAGTGTGTTTGAGATTTGACTCAGTCAATGTGCTAATGTTCTGTGGCCAGGCAACAACCCAGGCCTGGCGTCACTTGCCTGCCTGCCTTACCTTAGCAGACAGTGTCCTAATACAAAGAGGCTTCTTTCTATACTCCCCCCCCCAAATTGGGAGTGTGATTGGGAGTGGAGGTGAGAGTGTTAACTAGGGTGAGAACTTGAGCAGAACAGATTGGAGGAGGTGGGGAGGAACTTGGAGGGGGGAGGGGCAGGGCCCACATTCCCTTTATCCAAGGCCCCTCCCTTTGCTTCCCTGGCCTAGGTTCGTGTAGATGGCATCCATGATGCCCATCTGTATGAGACAGTGCCTGTGGCAGAGGGGAGACCCATTCTCCGAGATCTTCTGTTTAGCCCAGACCATCAATACATCTACCTCCTGAGTGACAAGCAGGTACCTGTAAGGGAGAGGGCAGGAGGTTGGCAAAGCTGGGGGAGAGCTGGGTGCAGATGTTCCACGGAGTCCATCCCCCCAACTCTGATCCCCAGGTGAGCCAGGTCCCCGTGGAGACGTGTGAGCAGTATCTTCACTGTGGGGCGTGCCTGGGCTCTGGGGATCCCCACTGTGGCTGGTGTGTGCTTCATAACAAGTAAGCTGGCAAAGGGCGGTGGTCAGGGGTGTTGGAAGAGGGTACTGTGGAAAGACAGCTTAGGGCTGAGAGCCCAGCAAGGCCACACAGGGCCCAAGAAGAAGAGATCTTTGTGGGCCTGGGGACACCAGGCCCAATCTTTAGCCTTCCCCTTGTCTCTTCCATTGTTCTTCTTCCTTCTGGACTTAACTACATTCCTAAGTAGCATTTGGCTCCCCTGGTTGGGGGGGGGGATGGTCTGTGGCAGGAAAGCCAGCAAGAACAGAGGAAGCCAGGCAGGGGCAGGGGGTTCTCTCTCCCCTGGCCCTGAAGTATCCAGCACTGGCAGGCAGGGTGGGTTTTGCTGTCTGCCTCCCTCTAATATTAAGTGAGTGGCCTGTCCTATTCCAAGTAGGCTGCCTGGGTTACTTCTTGGAAGTAGGGCAGACACAGCCAGGGGTGGGGGATGTCAGAAGAGGGGGAGTACTGTCAATACCTGAGGCCAAAGGAAAGCTGAGAACTGTCCTTGGCTGGGGCCAGGGCCTTTACCAGCCCCCTTGGGGCAGCTCTCTTGGAGATGTGCTGGGGGTGGGGGGGGGCCAGCAGTAGCACTCTTGCTTTGTTTCCTTGGATTAGATTCTCATGACCTGAAATTCCCTGAGGTTCCAAGCATTCCCAAGTATTTTCTAGTTATTTCTTTCCACATTCAACCATGGCCATGTTTCTTCTTGGAATACAAAGACAAAATTGTATTATTTTCTTTCTTCCCCCCCCCAGTATGAGCAGGACCTAGTGGGAAGGAGCCCCTAAGGCAGTCTTCCTCGCCCTCATCATTAAGCTGCTAAGGAAGTGGAGGAAAAGTGAGAGGGTATGATGGGGCTAAGGGCAGCAGGAATCCCCCACCCATCTACACCCCTGCTGACAGGCTCACTTAGTTAGGAAGGCCAGCACTCTGGGTGGGGCCTGGGCCTGAGTGTGAGTGATGACTCACCTAAGCAAACATGAAATGAGAAGCCCCCCCTCCCCCCAGCCACTTTGCTCCAGGTGGCATTGGGGGGATCAGGGAGGGAACAAGCATTCATTGAGAGCCTACTATGTGCCATGGACTCTGCTGAGCAACTTAAAAATATCAGCTCATTTGATCCTTACCACACTCTGGGAGGTAGGTGCTGCTGTTGTCTCAATTTGACAGTTGAGGAAACTGAGGCAGATAGTGGTCTCCCTCAGCAGCTTGCCCAGGGTCATACCACTAGTAGCCACTAGTAAGTGCCTGAGGCCAGCTTTGAATTTAGGTCAGGCCCAGCACTCTGATCCTTGTGGTTGACCTGGGCCAGTGTGGTTCCTTCTGGCTGATGCCTCTCCTTTTTTTCTTTTTCTTTTGGCTAGGCAATAGGGTTAAGTGACTTGCCCAGGGTCACACAGCTAGTGAGTGTGATGTGTCTGAGGCTGGATTTGAACTCAGGTCCTCCTGACTCCAAGGCCGGTGCTCTACCCATTGCACCACCTAGCTGCCCCTGATGCCTCTCCTTCCTCCTTGAGCCTTGGAAGCTGTGCCATGAAGGCCTATGGGGATTCTGCCTTTAAACACAGCTGGGTCCCTACCTTCTAGTCTAGCTCTGCTCTTGGCCGGGGGGGGGGGGGGGGGGGGAGGTAGTATTTTTGCCTTCTTTGGTTCTGGCAGCAGTAGTTTGGAGGGAAGGGAAGGGAAGGGATGGGAAGAGAGAAAGCCTAGCAGGTTCTCCTCTCCCAAAGACCTCTTCACAGAGGAAATCTCACCAGAGAGGTGGTTCCTCTCCTTGCCCCTGCCCCATTCAGACCTGCTCAGGACCAGAGCTGGGCCAACAGGCTCTGGCCTCAGGAGTGCCACATTTGTCTCATTTTTCGTTCTCCAAGGTTAGGCGTGCTCAGGGTGATTGGCTGGGGCACATGTGTGAGGGATGGGGTGGGGGGGGTCAGCTTTCTACTCTGGGGCCTCCTGGGCACACTAGAGTTTCCTTCTCCTTACCCCCCACAAAAAGGTGCCTCCAGGCAGAGCAGTATGCTGCCCCTGAAAAGCAGGGTGGGCCTGCTTGGAAAGAACTCTGAAGCATCTGCTTCCCACCCTACCCCCACCCCCCATGGCTTACCTTTCTGTCTCTTCCCCCAGGCCCTAGGACAGGCCGGTCTTGTCCTCATGTCCCTAAGCCTCCACTCCACCTAAGGAGCGGAAACTCCATCCCCTGATGACGTCTGTCTGCTCCTGGGGCCTCTGGAGGATGAGTGGTTGCTTGGTGCTCTAGCTCCACCTCCTCCCTCCCCAGGCTGCTAAGGCCAGAGTTTGGTTCATTTCTCCAGTCCAGTGATGCACCCCCCTCCCCCCCGCCCCCCAGAGCAGGCCTAGCTGGCATTGGAACAGCCAGCATGAGGCCTAGCTCAGGCCTATTGCTGAGGGCCCTCAGAGGGGTATGGCTTGGCTCTGGCCTGGCCCAGGTGTCTAAGGCTGTGTTTCCGCCCCTTCTCACTGTACACATGCATGATGTTCAGATGCTGCCGGGAGGGGGAGTGCCCTCGGGCTTGGGAGCCACACCGATTCACCGAGGTGCTCAGTGAGTGCGTCCATGTGTCAGTGCAGCCCAACAATGTGTCTGTCACTGTGCCTGAGGTGCAGGTGAGGGAGAAAACAATGGGATGAGGGCCTGGGGGCTGGGCCATAGGGCCCCTCTGAGCCCTGGCCCCCTGTGTCGTTGTGCCCCCCGCAGGTAACTTTGTTGGTACAGAATGTGCCCGACCTGACTGGGGGAGTGAGCTGTTCCTTTGAGGCCATGGCTGAGAACGAGGCATCCTTGCTGGCCCCAGGACAGCTACAGTGCCTCTCCCCCTCCTTGCGAGACATCCCTGCCATCACTGGTGGGCATGGTAAGTGGGCATGAGCGGGTGCCATGGCTACATCCTTGTGGGTAGGTTGCCTAGCTTACTGGCTGCCCCCCCACTCTGCCCACAGGTGCCACTTCTACTGTCCAGCTCTACCTACACTCCAAAGAGACCGGCTTGAAGTTTGCCCAGGCTGATTTTGTCTTCTACAACTGCAGCACCTTCCAGTCGTGAGTCCTTCCCACTTAGTGAGGGCTGGGCCAAGGCTGGGGTTCTGCCCCTTTTCCCTCAAGGAGTAGCCCCAGCTCCTCCCTACGTGACACACTCCTCATCTCCCCTGTAGGTTACATATTTCACAGATAGGAAAGAATCCTGACTCCCAGAGAGAAGGCCCAGGTGCCAGTGAGCAGGAGAGCTCAGCTGTACAGCCAGTACACCCCCCACCCCAGCCCATGTCAGCTCATGGGCTTCTTATAGACACACAGCTGACTTAGAAAACCACAGACTCTCATTATCTATGTTCTGTTGCATTTTTATTTCTTTTGTTAACCACTTCCCAGTTACATTTTAATCTGGTCCCCCGCTAGAAAGTGTTTGACCCCTCTGTTCTATTCTAACCTCCTCATTTTATAGTTGAGGAAGTAGGCCCAGAGAGGCCACACACATAGGATCTTAGACCTAGAGCTGGAAGGGGCCTCAGAAGCCACTTTTACTGAAGAAGAAGCTGAGGCTCAGGGGAGCAGAAGAGACTGGAAGCATCAGGAGTAGGATTTGCATGCAGGTTCATTGACTCCCAAACCAATGCTCATTCTTTATCTCGGCAGATTATGTAACCTTGGTGTCTGTCCCTGCCTGCTGCAGACAGGGGAGGCATGAGGGAGGGTGAATATCAGCTGGATGGGCCCTTGGATACATATTGGTTCTTCCCTGGGGATTTGCCTTCAGGACCAGGAGGGGCCTGCTGCCTAGTCTCATGGCCTATGTCCCCAGGGTCCTGAAAGTGTAGTTTTGTTGACTTTTGGTGGGGGAGGAGGGACTGAAGGAGAGAAAAAGCACTGCCCAGCTGAACCATGTCCACTGAGGTAATCCAGGTTGTAGGGAGAGGAGGAGTTGCTTGGTGCTAGCCTCAGCTCTCTCCAGGCATCTGAAGGACTGGCATGTGGAAGAAGTTGCAACGTTGTTCTGGTTGGCTCCAGACAGCAGAACCAGCAATGAAGGGGACTTCCTTGCCTTGGGCAAGCCCCTCCCTCTCTCTGGGCCTCACTTTCCTCATCTGTAAAATGAAGGGTTTTGATTAGATGGTCCTTGACTTCAATTAGACTTGCTGTTAGGAAAAACTCAACAATTAGGACTTTCCTAAGGAAGAGTGGACTGCCCATCTCCTTAGAGACCTTTGTGTTGGGCCTGCAGGCAGGAAGACCTGAGGGGGATTCCAGCCTCAGACACTTCCTAGCTGGGTGACCTTTCTAGGTGAGGCCTTTCTCAGTCTTGAGTTTCCTCACCTATAAAAGAGGGATAATAATAATAGCACCTACTTCCTGGAGTTTTTGTGAGGATCAAATGAAATGATGGTTGTGATGTGCTTTGCTAACCTTAAAATGCTGTAGAAATGCTAGCTAGTAGCTAGTGCTTAGCATGTGCCTGGCACATAGTAGGTGCTTAATAGATATTTGCCTGACTGATTTAAGCAAAGGCTAAATGAATATTTGTTAGGGATGTCATAGTTAGGTTTCCTTTTCTGCTATGGTTTGAATTGGAGGGTCACTGAGGTCCCTTCCAACTCTGAGATCCTTTGACTCCTAGGCAGCAAGCCCCAGGAATGTACAGTATACCCAGAGAAGCAGGACTCCCTCCCTGGGCCCCTAAGCCTTATCTCTTGCCCCCCAGGACTGTCCACTTGTGTGAATACTTTCAGGTGCCTTTGGGCTTAGATACTTCTCTTCCCATCTCTGCGCCGGTCATTGACTTAGGGGAGCATCTGGGCCACAGGGGAGTGATTCAGGTGAGCCCTTCACCCCTCAGACCTGCCTGTGGCTGATGGACACTGCCCTCCTTTTTGAGATTGTAAAGAGCCCTGAACTGGTAGCTGGGAGTCTGGGCTGCTTGTCCTGCCTCTAACTGGCTCCTCTGAATGACTTGGGCCTCACTTTCCACTGCTGTCAAATGAAGGGGTCAAAGCTAGATGACCGCTGAGGTCCTTGCCAGCTCTGAATCCTGTAATCCAACTGAATAAATAATTTCTCTCTTGGCCCCCCTCTTGGCTTTGCCATTCCTGAACCTTCTTATCTCTCCATTCAGGTGTTTGTCATGTGTCAGCAGCCCCTACCCCTGTCACTGGTGTAAGTACCGCCACATGTGCACAGACAACGCCAGGGAGTGCTCTTTTCAGGAGGGCCGGGTGAATACTACTGAGGTGAGAGGCATGATGACAGCTGCCTTTCCCCCTGAGGTAGCTGATGCCCTTTTCTCTCCCTTGTAGATGTGATTGCCCAACTACATAGGGCCTTCCTTGCCCGCACATCAGGGCCGACCATCTAAGAGCTTCTCCAACAAGTGGCTTTGTTGGCAATGTCTCTGGTTTCTCTCAGAGCTTCTGAGTGCATTTGGGGAGTGTGCGTACACACACATCTCTGGGCATCCTCTGCCACCCCAAGTCAAGCTGGGCCTGGCCTTGTGTCTTGACGTTATCCCCATGGCATGTAAATTCAAACACTGGGAGGTGAGGGGTCATTTGGTCCTTCTTCTAGGCCCTGAGGGATGGGTTGCACTTAGCCTTATCATCCTGGGTCCCCCAGGCCCTGCTAGAGACATCCGCTATGATAGAGTATGACCTGACTGTGTCCTTGGCCTGGGGTTAAAAAACCAGGCCCCTACTCAGATACTCTGTGTGTGTTCACGTGTGTGCACATGGCAGAGAAAGCAGCTGGGAAGAAGTATTGGTTCTGGCTGGTATTCAGAAGGAGCAGGGGGCATGTGGCCAGAGCCACATTTTGTCTTTTGTCTCTCTCTGGGATGGGATCAATTTAAGCCAGTACGGAAACCAGCTCAGCTCATGGAATTAGGCCCTAGGGGCCTTCAGTTTCCTCCATTGCTTTGGCCCATGGCCCTCCTGACTCTCCAGCTAGGAGGTCAGTGACCAGTATGGCCAGCTGGGTCTCAAGGTAGAGGCTTCTCTATGCCTCCACCCCCTTCCAGTGTTACATATTAGATTAGATGTGTCTGTTTCTTCTGGATGGCATGGCCCCTGGAGGCTGGGGAAGGAGGGACCAAGCCAAATGATGTATATGCTCCTCCTCCACAGGGCTGCCCAGAGATTCTGCCCAGTGGGGAGATCTTGATCCCAGTGGGTGTGGTTCAGCCACTCACGCTTCGAGCCAAGAACCTGCCCCAGCCCCAGTCAGGGCAGAAGAATTATGAATGTGTGTTCCGCATCCAGGGCAGGCAGCAGAGGGTGCCTGCCATCCGCTTCAACAGCAGCAGCGTACAGTGCCAGAACACCTCGGTGAGTGAGGATGCAGGCAGGTAGGTGGGTGGGCATCGGCTGTTGCCTTGGCCTGAGACTGAGGTGGGGAGGGGCCCTGATGGAAACCCCCTCAAGTGGGGCAGGACTAGCCTAGATTCAAGGAGGTGGCCATAGTGTCAGACTGCCTACTTCAGCCCCGGAGTGTTAAGGTGTGTGTGTGAGTGTGTGTGAGTGTATGTGAGTGTGTGTGTATGTGTGTGCATATGAGAGAGTGTGTGTGTGTGTGTGTGAGTGTGTATTTGTGTGTGTGTATGTGTGTGTGTGTGAGAGAGATTTTGTGTGTGTGTGTGTGTGTGTGTGTGTGTGTGTGTATGTTAAGTAAGATAGCCAACAGAGATGGGAAGTTGAATAAGGTTGCTCGGTAACAGGATACAGCCCAGGCTTCTGTTACCATGGAAATCTTGGGGTCTCCTCTCCAGAGGTCCAGCCTCCCCCTTTGCCCATTATTTCACTTAACCTCTTAGCCTTCTGGATCAGTGGGGGAGGGGAGTGATCATGGTCATGGGCGGGGGGAGGGGGGAGGCAGGGAGGAGCTGCCAAATGGTCCAGCCCTCTCTCTCCCCCAGTGGGCTTGGGCTCCCTGTCCCTATGGTAACACTGACCCTGCCTTCCTGGTAACTCCTCTCAGTATTCCTATGAGGGAGATGCACAGGGAGCTGTGGCATTAGATTTCTCTGTGGTCTGGGATGGTGACTTCTACATCGACAAGCCAGACAACTTCAAAGGTGAGAGCAGCTCTTTCTTCTCCTTGCTCCCTTATGGCACCTGGCCTCCTAGAACCCCAGAAGCTCAAAGTTGGAAGGAGCATTTGAGATCATCTAGACCTCCCTCTTCATTTGATAAAAGGGGGAGGCTGAGGCCCAGAAAAGACTCGTGTCTTGGTATGGCCGCCTAGCTTGTTCGAAACAAGGTGAGGACCTGAATCCCAGTTCCCTCCTTCTTTGGGCTCTGCTGTCCTCATGTCCTCTTGTCCCCTGAACTTGCCCTAAGATGCTCTCTTGGAGCCTAACCCTGTCACTAACGTACCCTTTGGCCGTTTACCCACAGCCCTGTTGTATAAGTGCTGGGCCCAGAGGGAGAGCTGTGGTTTGTGTCTGAAGGCTGACCCCCGCTTTGAGTGTGGCTGGTGCATTTCGGAAAAGAAGTGTCAATTGCGGGCCCACTGTCCTATGCCCAAGGGCAACTGGATGCACCCGAGCAAGAGGAACCCACGATGCAGCCATCCACGCATCACCAAGGTGAGCCCATATCCTAGGGCCTTCTTTCTGTTTTGGGATAGGGGAGCTGTGAGGAGAGGAGCTCCTTACACCCTGCTTTGCCCCCATCTCCCACAGATCTATCCTGTGAAGGGCCCCAAGGAAGGGGGCACGCAGGTGACTGTGTTGGGGGAGAACCTAGGCCTGACATACCATGAAGTTGGTGTGCGAGTAGCAGGCGTTCGCTGCAATTCCATCCCTGCTGCATATATTAGTGCTGAGCGGTAAGCGAGCCGTGGGCACCCAGACCATTCCCCTGGCCCATCCCCCATCGCTCAAGCTGAAAGCCCCCCCAGCACAGCAGCCTGTTTGTTCTTCTTCTGAACACAGACACATGTGTACTCGTGCTTCCCGGCCCCTCCTCTCTCTCTGCTTCACCTCTCCCCCCACCCCCCCCACCCCCAGCAAAGGCAGGCAGAGGGTGGCAAGTTGAAGCAATGTAGGGAGCTGGCAGTGCTTGGCCAGGGCCAGCTTCTCCTCCTGCTCATTCCCAGGCCCTGGCGACCTCAGTGCTTGCACCCACTCACTCATTGCACTTTCTTGCTTGCCAGGATAGTGTGTGAGATGGAGGAGTCTCTGGTGCCCAGCCCTCTGCCAGGGCCTGTGGAGCTGTGTGTGGGCGACTGCTCTGCTGACTACCGGACCCAGTCAGAGCAGCTATACACCTTCGTGGTAGGCCCTTCAGCCCGTTGATTCAGATCTCCCTGGGACCCATGCAAGCCACTCTCCCTCCCTGCCTTGGTTTCCCCAGAATGAAGCCTTCTTTCCTGGCCCCTGCCTTCTCCCCCTTAAGGCAGCTAGGTGGCACCATGGAAAGACCTCTGGGGCCTGGAGTCCGGAAGATCTAGCCTCAGACACTTACTAGCTTTGTGATCCTGGGGAAGTCACTTCACCTCTATCTGTCTCAGTTTCCCCATTCCCCAAATAAGGAATATAATAGGAATTAACTTCCCAGAGTGGTTGGGAGGCGCACATGAGATAATATTTGTAAAGTGTTTAGCACGGTGCCTGGCACGCAGTAGGCATCTAATAAATCCCTCCTTCCTTCCTCCATCCTTCTCTCTATCCTTCCTTTCCCCCCTTTCTCCCTCCTTCCCTCCCTCCTTCTTTCTCTTCCCCAAAGGTCCTGTGGAGTGATTTCTGGGGTGGGCTCAGGGGTGGGCTTGGCTAAAAAGGGGAGATCCTTTTCTTTCTCAGGACCTCTCCTTCTGCTGCAGACCCCAACTTTTGACCAAGTGAACCCCACCCAAGGGCCAGCTTCTGGGGGCACCCAGCTCACTATCTCTGGCAGCCACTTGGATGCAGGCAGCAGTGTGGCTGTGGCTGTGAGGAACAGAGAGTGCCAGTTTGTGAGGTGAGCAGGGGAGGATACTGTTCCTGGGCAGTACTCAGTCTTCAGGCCTTTAGTACCAGGCAATGTGCTAAACACCAGGCACTGATAAAAATGAGAGATACTTTCTGCCCTAGAAGAATTTACAGTTTTTAGTGGGGAAAACGACATGTGCCCAGGCCAGTAAATGCAGTGGAGGGTTTGAGGGGCATGAGCGTAGGATTGGGGAGGGCTTTGTGTAGCAGGAGTACCTGAGCTGAGCCCAGAAGAAATTGTGGAATTCTAAAGAGGTGGGGATGAGGAAAGAATGTGTGTCAGGGCCTGAGGGCCGGCCCGGACCTAGCCACAAGAGTGTAACTATGGGAGCCAGCTGGCTGGAAAGAGGAAAATTTGGCAATTCCTTGCCTGGGAGGGTGAGGGAGGGGGAGAGGGAGCAGTCTAGGATGGCCTGGGAGGATGATGGTGGTGCCCTAGGCAGCGATAGGGAATCTGGGAAGAGGGGAGGTCACAGGGGAAGGAGAATGAGTTCAGTTTGGAACATGTTGAGTTTGAGAAGTTATTCAGGTAGAATGTCCAGTAGGTGATGTGGGACAGTTATCAGGAGAGAGACTGAGGCTGGATATATAGATGGAGGAATCTCCAGAAGTAAGGAGCCCAACACAGGGCAAGGGGATTGTTGGGGAAAGCATTGTATGGTAGCTGGGGCCCTGGTCCCCCTCACCCTGATCTGATCCATCTGTCCTTAGGAGAAGTGCCAAGGAAATCCTGTGCATCTCCCCCAGCTCAGGCTTGGGCCCTGGCGAAGCTGCCATCACCGTCTGCATTGACCGTGCTAACATCTCCACCCCAGCCGTGCTCTACACTTACACTCAGGATCCCACCATTACCCTCCTGGAGCCAGCCTGGAGCATCTTTAAGTGAGCATCTTTTTTCTTCCCCAGCCAGGCAAGGCCAAATGGGCCGCTCCAGAGAGTCAGCTTGGGGTCCTGCTTCTGCTATGTGTACTGCCTGGTGCAGGGTGACCAAGGCTTCCTGTGCCCTCTGGGCCTCCTGGCTGAGTCTCGTCCTGTGCCATGGTGAGGGATTGGCCTGGGTTGGCCTAGGCAGGCTGTGCAGGGGGCCTCAGCTCTCTTCCTTCCCTTCCTACCCACTATAGTGGCAGTACGACCATCACTGTAACGGGAACCCATCTGCTGACAGTCCAGGAGCCGCGAGTTCGAGCCAAGTACCGTGGCATTGAGACAATTAATGTAAGTTGAATGTGCCTCCCTCCCCCCAAACCCTCTTTTCCCTCTCCTCCACCCTCCCCACTCACCTTCTCCTTCTCCCTCCCCCTCAGACCTGCCGAGTGCTCAATGACACTGTCATGCTCTGCAAGGCCCCGGGCATCTTCTATGGGCATTCTCACCCACCCTCTGAAGGAGAGCATCCAGATGAGTTTGGCTTCCTAATGGATCATGTGCAGGCTACTCGGACCCTGGACCGTTCAGCCTTCACCTACTACCCCAATCCCAGCTTTGAGCCCCTTGGCCCCACTGGCATCTTGGACATCAAGCCGGGCTCCCATATCATTCTCAAGGTGTTGGGGGAACGGCAGGCCCTTGGAAGGGCATGACAACAGCCAGAGAGGGTGCTAGCCAGGGCACTGGGCTGGCATGGGCCCACTTGGGGCACCCAAATGTGACTCTGGCCTGTCTTTGTCTCCGTAGGGAAAGAACCTCATTCCAGTGGCATCAGGCAGCTCCCGGCTCAACTACACTGTGCTGATTGGGGGCCAGCCATGTGCACTCACTGTCTCTGACACTCAGCTTCTCTGTGATTCGCCGACCCAGACTGGCAAGCAGCCTGTCATGGTGCGGGTGTGGAGCAGGGGATAGGGTGGGTGGAAGAAGCCAGATTGTTATCAGGCATGAAGGAAGGGCCATGGAGTCCAGCTAGGTCCCATGTACCTTGCTTTTCATTGGCAGATCCTGGTGGGGGGCCTGGAGTTCTGGCCAGGGACACTGCACATCTATGCAGAACGGGCGCTGACCCTACCAGCCATGGCTGGCCTCGGAGCAGGTGGTGGGCTGCTGCTTCTTGCCATTGGGGCTGTCCTCATTGCCTACAAACGCAAGACCCGAGATGCTGACCGAACCCTCAAGCGGCTGCAGTTACAAATGGACAACCTGGAGTCTCGCGTGGCCCTGGAGTGCAAGGAAGGTATCAGACCTAGGGCTAGGCCAAGAGTACTTCTGTGTGTGAAGGGAGGGGTAGTGCTGTGGGAGACGAGGCCGGAGAGATCGGCATTTGCTGGGGGAGTCCTCTAGCCAAGCCCCATCTTTTGTCTTGCCCCATCTCCTCCTCCTTGTTTGGGTCTGTTTGGGCCCTTTTGCATTTCTGTCTTCTTTTCCCCCTAGCCTTTGCTGAGCTTCAGACAGATATCAATGAACTGACCAATAATATGGATGGGGTCAAGATCCCCTTCCTGGATTATAAAACCTACGCCATGCGAGTGTTGTTCCCCGGAATTGAAGAGCACCCTGTACTCAAAGAATTGGATGTGAGTCATCCCTGGGGCAAAGCACTGAGATCCTGCCTGCCCCCAACCCCCAATCCTGCCCATTGGTCCCCTTCTGGTCCCCTCCACTCCAGTTCTGCTTCCCCCATTCCAATTCTGCCCCCCTCAATCCTGCCCATTGGTCCCCTTCTGGCCCCCTCCACTCCAATTCTGCCCCCCCAATCCTGCCCATTGGTCCCCTTCTAGCCCCCTCTACTCCAATTCCGCCCCCCCCAATCCTGCCCATTGGTCCCCTTCTGGCCCTTCCCCCATTCTAATCCTGCCCATTGGTCACCTTCTGCCCCCCTCCCCACTCTAATCCTGTCTGCCTCCCACTCCCATTCTGTTCCCCTGCCATTTTCCTTAGACCCCTCCCAACATGGAGAAGGCGCTACACCTGTTTGGGCAGCTGCTGCACAGTCGTGCCTTTGTGCTGACCTTCATCCACACCCTGGAGGCCCAGAGGAGCTTCTCAATGCGTGACCGAGGCAACGTGGCCTCCCTCACCATGGTGGCACTGCAGGGCCGAATGGACTATGCCACTGGCCTCCTCAAGCAGCTGCTTGCTGACCTCATCGAGAAGAACCTGGAGAGCAAGAACCACCCCAAGCTGCTGCTGCGGAGGTAGGTGCCCGCAGCCCTCCCCGCTCCCTCACCCCCATTGCCTATCGCTCAGGGCCTCAGAGACATTTTGAGGATGGGGGCAGTTGTCTGTAGATCACTGTCTGGATGGATTCTTCCACCTTTGTCTGGGTGTCTCTGGCCATCTTGGCATCTCAGGTCTCTAGCTTATCTCTTGTGGATTTTGTGTTGGCGGGTGGAATCTCTGGGGGCCCTTGTTTGTGACTCTCTGCTGGGGACTCTATGTGCCCACAAATGAACTCTCCTCATTTCCCTTTGCCTCATGGAATCTCCTAGGACAGAATCAGTAGCAGAAAAGATGTTGACCAACTGGTTCACATTCCTGCTGCACCGCTTCCTAAAGGTAATTGAACCTCTGAAGGCCCAGGGGTCTGAGGGAAGGGAGATTCTGGCCTTGCCCTGTCCTGGAAGGTTCCCAGAAGGCCTGGGCCTTTCTTTAGCTGTGCTGCTTAGCTGGGCTCCTGCTTCCCTCCCTCCACCCCCCAGGCTTTGAGCAGAGCCCCTGGCTCTGGTGGGAGCCTTTACCCAAGAGTCCAGGAAGTTCCTAGAAAGTTAGGCTTTGCGCTGTCTCCTGTGGTGCTCACTGAGCCTCTCCCTGGACCAGGAATGTGCAGGGGAACCCCTCTTCATGCTCTTCTGTGCCATCAAGCAGCAGATGGAGAAGGGGCCCATCGACGCCATCACAGGGGAAGCCCGGTATTCCCTGAGTGAGGACAAACTCATCCGCCAGCAGATTGACTACAAGATGCTGGTGAGGGCTAAGGCTGTTGACCACTTGAAAGGGAAGAGACATAGACCTCATGTCTGCTAGGAGAGCCCTTTGGGGCATGGGGGGTGGGGGTGGGAAAGGAAGGGGCAATAGAAGGAAAGGTACCGTCATGGGCAGCTTCCCAAAGGTAGAGAAGGAAGGCTGAGCCCACTCCTGCCACCTTCCTCCTTCCTCCCCAGACCCTGCACTGTGTGTGTCCTGAGAGTGAGGGCAACGTAGAGGTCCCTGTGAAAGTTCTCAACTGTGACACCATCACTCAGGCCAAGGACAAGCTGCTGGACACCGTGTACAAGGGCATTCCTTACTCCCAGCGCCCCAAGGCAGATGACATGGACTTAGGTAGCTTCTGGCAAAGCCATTGCCAGCTCTCCTTTGCTGTCCCCCTCCTGGCCCTACCCCAGTCAGGCACACAGGCACATATAGAGAGCCCTGGACCGAAAGTCAGCAGATCCTCTTGGCCGGCTAGGGGGCACCAGAGTGGAGAGAGCGCTAGGCCTAGACGTGGAAAGATCTGAGTTCAAATCTGACCTCAGACACTTACTAGCTGTGTGACCCTGTGCAAGTCATTTAGCCTCTGTCTGCCTCAGTTTCCTTCTCTGTAAAATGGGGCTCATAAGAGTACCTACCTTCTGATACTTGACCAATAAGAAAATATTTGTAAAGTGCTTAGCGCAGTGCCTGGCATATAATAAGCACTATATTAATATTAGCTATTATAATAATTCTTATTAACCATTCTACCGTTTGACCTTGAGTGGGTCACTCTCCCTTTGTGGCCTTAGTTTCCTCTTCTATCAAACACGTGTTTATGCCTTGCTGATCTCTCTGACGGCCCTTCAGATTTGGGATGCTGGGCTTCCTTCCTCAGGCTTGGGAGGGGCTCAGGTGTGTCCCAGGGTCATGGGCCAATCTCTCCCCATCCTCCATTCAGCTGTGTCCCTCATCCCTCTAGAATGGCGTCAGGGTCGGGTGACCCGGATCATTCTGCAGGATGAGGATGTTACCACCAAGATTGAGTGCGACTGGAAGAGACTCAACTCCTTGGCACATTACCAGGTGGGGAGAGTTTCTTGCTGCTTGGCTTCATGTTTCTGTGAGCCTTGGCACATCCCTTTGTCCTCCTCCCCTTTTATTTCCTCTGTCCTGTCTCCCTTCAGTACTTTGTTCTCAGTAGGGAAGCCCGCTCCACCGCTGCCACTTCCCCCCCCCCTTTATGACCCTAGCTTCCTCTTCCCCTCTGCTATAGGAGAAAGATTTGAAGGGTCAGAGGATATGGGTTCAGATCCTACTTCTGCCCCTTACTACTTGTATGTGACCTTGGGCAAATCCCTTCCCTTCCCTGGGCCTCAGTTTCCTCTTGTGTAAAAGGAAGGAGGTTGAACTAGGTGACCTCCAAGGGCCCTTCCATCTCTAGGTTTGTGATCCTACTGTGCTCGCTCCTTTCCCAGGTGACAGATGGCTCCTCAGTTGCGCTGGTACCCAAGCAAGTGTCTGCCTACAACATCGCTAACTCCTTCACCTTCACCCGTTCCCTCAGCCGCTATGGTGAGCAGGGACCACCAGTGGAGGCCTTCACTGTACCTGGCCTCTCTGTCAGATGTTCCTCTCCCCAGCCAGCTGTCGAGTGTCAGAGCTGGCCTTTGGCTGCTGAGGCCTCAGTCACAAGAAGAGGGAAGATGGGAAAGAGAGGGAGAGGGAGAGACAGACAGATAGAGAGAGAGAGATTAATTGTGCAGGAGTATATATCTGCGAAGTTGTCACTCAGGCGTGTCAGGAAGCCCAGAGCAGGAAGAGATCCCTGGGGCCTGGCATCTCTACTCAGGGAAGGCCAGCTCCATTTGGGCCTGGAACTGGCCTTCATAGCTGGCCTGGTGTTGGAGAAAGAACTCTGTGCCTGTTTCCCTCCCTTTCTAAGATAAAGGCCTTGCTGCTGGAGGGGACCCTGGCATGGCCGCATGTATTTTCAGACACAGGTGATGGGTTGGTTTTGATTTTTTCTTCTTAAGAGAAAGAAAGTATATGGCATATCCCAAAAGCTTTAATAGCTAAAAACAGACTTAAGATTTTGGGGACATCCTAGATTTGGAGAGGAAGATGATATCAAAGCCAAAGATGTCTCTATCAGCACAAACATGTTTTCCTGGGAAGAGGTGGCATTGGGGCCCCTCTGAATCTGTGTGTTGGCACACTCTCAAGTACTCACCGCCGCCTCATGCCAGTGCCCCTCCCTTCTCCCCCACTCTCCTACAGAAAGCTTGCTCCGCACCTCCAGTAGTCCAGACAGTCTCCGCTCTCGGGCACCCATGATCACACCTGACCAGGAGACAGGCACAAAGCTGTGGCACCTGGTCAAAAACCATGACCACGCCGATCATAGGGAGGGTGACCGGGGCAGCAAGATGGTATCTGAGATCTACCTGACGCGGCTGCTGGCAACCAAGGTCAGTCCCCACTGCCAGGAGGTAGGGTGGGCACCGGGCAGGGTTAAGAGTTAAGCCACAGCTGTGCTGTGTTCACCCAGGGCTGCCCTTATTCCACAGGTTGAGATTTTATCAGTTTCAGATTCCTTCACTTCCTCCTGCCAGTGGTACTCATTGGTGGCCTCAGTTTCCTCAGATGCCATAACAGCTGGTACTGATCTTCTCTTTTTTGGGGCAGAGCAGTTCATTCTGTCCCCAGGCCTGAGATTGAAGCCATTCCCTCTAGTCAAACCATCAAAGCTGTTGCCCCCAAAAGAGCCTTCCCAAGGGTAGGGTCATCTGCCTTCCCAGAGGAGGAATTGGATAGGCATCAGAAATAGTATATTCATGTCTTATCAGAGAGAATTTAGGGCAGAAGAATAACATTCTAAAAGACTCTGGTAGGTTATTCTCAGCACAGATTTGATTTTCTCACTGGTTATTTCATCCAAAGCCCTGCTTCCCCGCACATCTGTGACTCAGTAGTGCCTCTGGATGTCTGTGGGCACATCACTTGGCAGTGGTGGCTCTCTTTTCAGTAGTACTGGACAAAAATAGTGACAATGGAGTGGAAACAGTGGCCAGGATCCCTGGCTTCGGTTTGGGCACTGCCATTCACTCTCTGTTTGCCCCTGGACAAACCCTGTCTGGGTCTTTGTTTCCTCCTGTAGAAAAGAAGTGCTTTGGATGAGATAAATTTAAGGTTCCGGTTCTTCACCATGGCCCCTGGCCTCCGGGGGCCTCCTGTACTTTCACCCCTGTGGGCACATATCCTGTGTTCTTCTCCCCAGGGTACCCTGCAGAAGTTTGTAGATGACCTCTTTGAGACAGTGTTCAGCACTGCCCACCGGGGCTCAGCCTTGCCACTTGCCATCAAGTACATGTTCGACTTCCTGGATGAGCAGGCAGACCGGCAGCAGATAGCTGACCCTGATGTGCGACACACTTGGAAAAGCAATTGGTATCTGCCCGTCCTGCTGGCCTAGCCTCTAGTTCTACCCGGGGGTGGTTGGGAGAGAGCACAGATATAAGTCAGGCTCAACACAGGATTCTTTTTATAAATTCTTTTTACCTGCCAGTTGGTACTACTGTTCCAGGAGATGGCAGAGCCTCCTGGGGTTTGCTTAAGGACCTTAGGGCAACCTGGTGGCTTGTTCCATCTCTGCATACCACTTTGCCTCTCCCAGGTGTGCCCCACTATGCCCAGTGAGGGTGTCCCCGGAAGGGCCACGTGTAAGTTGAAGTTCTCTGAATGTCTGAAGTACTTGGTGTAAAGTGAGGAGCTGCTGTGGATCATTAGCCACATGGCTGAACCCAGCAGGAATGCCTTCCAGAGACCACATCCTCCTCTTCTATTTAAAGAAATCCCAGTGTTCACATACTGGGTTTGCTTAAAACCAGGGGCACCCATAATGAAATCAACTCTACTTTATTCATGGACCTGGCAGTTCTTAGTAGCATACCGTGACTTATCCCTGAAGGTTTTTCAGAGTAGATGAAGAGGGAGGGAGAGTGGCACAAGCAAAGGCTTGGAGGCAGGAAATGAGCCTAGCATTTGTGTGAGGGCTAGAGAAAAGTCTGACTTAGCCAGAGCTGAAGGAAGGGCTTTAAGGCACATTTTGAAATCAGCTGCATAGTTACTCAAATCCTGAAGAGGGCAGAGCTCCGGAAAAGAGTGTATTTTTTTAATCCCCCTGCCCTCCTCCTACACTAGAAAGAACTGTAACACCTAATCTCCCTCCCTGCTCCCCCTCCCCCCAAAAAAGAGCTGAGAGGCGTAGAGATACCTTCTTTGGCCTGGCATCTGCACTAAAGCTTTAGTGGGGGACCCAGCATGAAGAGGTGAGTCAGGAGTTCATGAACTGGAAGAGCCAGCTGGGGAAACCATAATGCTGTGGAGGAAGTCGGGGAGAGGTATGTGGTGGGAGGATTAGGAGGGCCAGTCGGGTAGACCCTGCCCTCATTGGAGTCCTTGGGAATCCCTGACAGCCTCCCTCTCCGCTTCTGGGTGAACGTCCTCAAGAACCCGCAGTTTGTGTTCGACATTCACAAGAACAGTATCACAGATGCCTGCCTGTCGGTGGTGGCCCAGACATTCATGGACTCATGCTCCACCTCTGAGCACCGGCTGGGCAAGGATTCACCTTCCAACAAGCTCCTCTATGCCAAGGATATCCCCAACTACAAGACCTGGGTGGAGAGGTGGGCACTGTTGTCCAGCTGTGGAGGCTACAAGTTGGGTACCAGGGACAGGAGTAGCTTGCCAGCTGCTTTCCCCTCCAGAACCATTAATGGCAGCAGTGGAATGGGCAGTGGGTACGCAGGGAAGGTGTTAATACTGCTTTAGCTCATTATAGAAGGAGAGCAGGAAAGGGGGCAGCCCCCTGTCTTTAAATGGTCTAGGGCATAGAAGAATGGGCTAGGTAGGGAATCAGTTCCCATTTATTGAGCACCTACTGTTTGTACTCCTGGCCTTGCTTGGGGAATTTCTAGTGCAGCTGAGATCAGATGTGTACCTAACATTACAAAGCAGCATCTACCAATCACCAAATGAATGGCGCAGAGACCATAGAGAGGGAGGAGCAAGGCCTGTTCTGGGCCTCAAAATCCGGGTAGGGTTGGAACAGAGAACAGTGTGAGCAAAGGTATATGGAGGCTAATATTGGCCTGGTGGGAGGGGTTGGAGAGCATCCTTGTCTGTAACAGGGGGCTCTCAGAGGGGAGAGAGGGGTGGTATGGGAGAACAGCTGGGGCGGTGGCTCCAGTGATGGAGAGATGGGAAATGAGATCCTTGCTGCCCACCCTGTCCTGTTCTGGAAGGGAGATGGTGGGACCTCCCAAGGAATCTCCCTTTCCTTCCCTTTATGACCTCCACCTAACAGGTACTATCGGGATATCTCAAAGATGGCATCAATCAGCGACCAAGATATGGATGCCTACCTCGTGGAACAGTCCCGCCTCCACGCCAATGACTTCAACACCCTCAGTGCCCTCAGCGAGCTCTACTTCTACATCAACAAATATCGGGAAGAGGTTGGGGCACTCTTCACTGCCCCTACCCACCTCCCAACCCACATCCCCCATCCTTTACTCCTTGAGCAGGAGGTTTCAGGCCTTCAGCCCCAGCTCTGTGTTCTCAGGATTCTTCAGAAACTCTAGTGTTTGCATCTTCATTGTTACTTGCTTATTTAGGACCTGCGGGACCTAAGCTGGGTTATGGGGTGGCTTGAAGTTGTGGCCCAGGATCAGTGAAACCCAGACCCTGCCTTAAGGAGCACCAAAGCATGTAGCAAAGGGGCTTATGATTGGCATAGATAGGGAGGCCTGTGCGTGTGTTTCTAAGCTGGGGGCCTTGAAGGGGCAGGACAAGTGGAAAGCATTCCAGGTAGAGGGATGGCCAGGAAAGGTGCAGAGACTGGAAGGACTTGGCAAATAGCTGGATTGAAGGGTACGCTGGGGAGCAGTGAAGAGAAAGGTTGCATTGGGGTATTTTTATCAGAGAGGTGTGTATGATATCACAGAAGAGCAGTTGCGCCTGGCTCAGGACAGGGGAGATACAGCCATCCACAAGGTCTCTTCCCGAGGGTGTTGGAGGAGGCCCTTCCTACCTTGCCTCCCCACCACACCCTCCCCCTCCAGTTCATCTCACACTGCCAGGGTGGATGAGTAGGTGGCCTTCCCCATAGGTAGCCTTTGTACTCCTTCTTGAATGTATATCATGCTCCTTGGCCCAGCTGCCATCTGGCCCCAGCCTGACAGGCCCAAAGGACAGAGATGGTCTTCACAGAAGTGGGTAGTTAGGCTGGGGGAAGAGGGTGTGTTTATTTGGAAATTTCCAGAAGGCAGGTGAGAATGTGGGACAAGGGAAGGGACTGGGATCTCATAGCTGGAGGTTTTGAGGTCAGAGGCAAGTCTGCTCAATTCAGTAAGCATTCATTAAGCCCCTGCTAAGAGGCAGGCAAATGCAAGAGACAGGTAGGTAGGTGGTCCAGTGGATAGAACACTGGGCCTGGAGTCAGGAAGGTCTGAGTTCAAACCTGACCTCTAGCATTTACTAGCTGTGTGACCCTGGACAAGTCACTTCACCTCTGCCTCAGTTGCCTCATCTATAAAATGGGAATAAATAAGAGCACCTACCTTGCAGGGTTGTTGGCAGATCAAATGAAATAATACTTGTAAAAATACTTAACAACGCCTGGCATGCAGTAGATGCTTAATAAGGGCTTATTAATTTTTTAATTAAAGCATGTTGCAAACCTTAAAGCACTATATAATAAACATCGTATTAGCTGTGCCGGGTGCTGGGGACACAGACAATAGTGAAGTAGTTCCTGTGCTCCAGGAACTTCCACTCCCGTTCACCCAGAATACAGACATGAGTGCATAAAATGCATAAAAAGCACTTCACATGCCACAGGGGTGGCCAAGATTGTAAAGGGAGAGAGTGTAGGGAGAGGAGAGCAAAGCAGAGCATGCCCAAGGCAGCTGGGGAGGAAAATAGTGACACAGGCACCCCAAAGAAGCCAGTGAGTGAGAAGGAAGGGGGCCACTGCTTTGGATCAGGAGTCCCCCTCTACCGGGCAAAGAGCAGAGAGTTCCAGTGAGTGGGAGGGCCAGACCTCAAGTGAGTGGGCCTCAGAGAATTGGAGGCCTCCTTTGAGCAAAGGCAGCAGGGAGGTTGTAGGGCTTTGAAAGCCCCTGGAGAGGAAAATAAGGAAGGGTTGCTTGAGAAAGGCAGCTGCTTGGACCTACTTCTGGGCCTTCCCTCACCTGGCCTTGTCTGGCCCACAGATCCTCACTGCCCTGGACCGAGATGTTGGCTGCCGAAAGCAGAAGCTGCGCCTCAAGTTGGAGCAGGTCATCAGCCTGGTGTCCAGCAACAGCTGAGGGCTGAGAGGCTGGGGAGGGGAACCCAGCAACCCGCCCTCCCTTCTCTCTGCTTCCTCCCCCCACAACCCATCCCCCTTCTCAGCTCCCCACAGACACAGCTCATCGCCCTTCTCTGCCTCCCCCCGGGGGGTAGGGGGCCTTTATCTCTACTTACCACCAGGGGAGACTACAGATGGACAGGCCTCCCCTCACCCCCCAACAGAGGTAGAAGGGGGAGACAGGCTGGGCACATCTGGGTAGACCTGCGCACACACCCCCATAGAAACCAAAGGGGGGGGACAGTGTCTAACTCTGGCCTCATGGAGGGGAGAGTCTTTACTTAGTGCCTTTCTTTTTTGGGGGGTGGGGAGCCAACACTATTCAGTCAGGCCCCCCACAGCCAACAGCAATACCCCCAGAGATGGACCCCCAATTCTCCCACCTCCCTCTAAGCTCTGATCTCTGCCCTACCCCCTTTTGTGTGTGCTATCCCAGGTGTTCAACAGAACCTATCCTCAGCCTGTATTTATAACTCCCCCCCCCCACAAAGCCCTGACTTGGCCTATTTATTTAATTTTAACACCCCCCTCCCATCTCTGTAAATATTCTTCCTGCCTGAGGGTGGCTAGTGTTGTGCCCTGTGGAGATGCTCAGCCAGGGGCCATGGCCCCCATTCCTTCCCTTTTCCTAGACCTGTTCTCAGGCCTTCCTGGCCCCTCTTGCTTTGTTCCTGGGACTGTCACCTCAGGAGCTCCTGTTTGTATATGTGTGTGTGTGCACATGTATGGTGGTCATGGGGCTAGCAGCTTTCATAGCCTCTTACCAGTCTGGAAGGTGGTAGCAAGGGCCCTGGCTTTAGGCTTTCCCCTTCCACCTGGGGTGCAGTGGAAGGAGCCCTGGAATGGGAGTGGGAAGACCTTGGACCTAGTCCTTTCCCTCAGGACCTCAGTTTCCTCATCAAAGGATTTCGTAGATGGTCTTTAAGGGCCCTCTCAGCTCTGCCAGCATAGTTCAACAAGCCCGTTCCCCCACATCTCAGTCTGCCAGGCAGCCATCCTCCTCTCTGCACCCAGCAAAGCAATAACAAGGGTTTACCTGGTGCCACCTCCCCAGCCAGTGACCCCTGCCCCCACTTCTGTGGGCCCAGGGTCAGTGCCACCTTTCCCTCACAGTGGCAGTGCCTTTCACCTGCCTTCGTAAACCTGCCAATGCAGCCACACAGTGGTATATCTAGACATCCCTGCATATTCACATCTGTGGCTGGGGAAAGAGAGGCATGAACACCTGGGCTGGGAGAGAGGGTTGTCATCTTATAGAGGCCGTGCCTTATTCCTTAATTTATTCTATACACTGCCCCAAAGTGTAGACATTTTCTGTACAAAGCCAAGCAACTGGCCTGCCCTGTAAATAAGTGTACCCCACAGTCTGATCGTCCTTTGTCTCTCTTCTCATTCACCCTCCCCCATTCCTAGCCGCATGAGCTTTTTATTTTTTTCATTTTGTAATTATTTTCTTTTGCTAATTAAAATGCCTGGAAAAGAAGTGGCTTTTAGCCCTGCTAATTTAGGGGGCGTTTTGCCCCTTTCATCCATGCCCTCTGGGAACCTGTGGGTGCAGCTTTGGGGGTTAGTATAAGACCCTGAAGGACAAGCGAGAAAGGAGGACCCTGGATTACAGCAAGATGTTTAGGAGGCTTTTGGGGACACAGGCCCACTGAAACCAGGTACAAATAAGATAGGCTAAGATTAATAATTGAGGGGCCTTCCCTTTTAACCGGGGTTGGGTCCAGAGAAAGCAATCCAGACTAGAGGTAGGACTTCTCACACAATAGGTGCTTAATAAAGGTATGTTGAGGAGAAAGCTGCTGGAGGCAAAGGAAGAAGCCAGTTAATTGGAGGGAGGCGGGGCGGGGCGGAACTGGCTTCAGGAATTCTGCAAAGCCATTGGCCACCTTTGTCCGTTACTTCTTCATCCATTGGGGTGGGAGGTGCCATGATGCTAAAAGACCACTGTCTCCCTTATCCCTACCTTTCAATTTCTATGGTCTGTTACAGAGCCTTCAAGGGTGGGATCTACCCTGAGTAATTTTTTTAAATTTTTTTTTTCAGTAATAAAGTACTGTCATGTTGAAAGCCTGTTTTATTACTACGGAGGCCCCCTCCTTTTTGCAGGGGAGGTTCCTGTTAAGGCCAGACCACTAGTAATGACCCATTTCAGTCCTGAATGCAGCCTCTGCCCTGCACTCTGGAGACCTCCCAACCTGATTTGATGGAAGCCAGGCAGCCTGCACTCTGGACCACACCAATTGCCTGGTGAAGGTGCTGCTTCTGTTCAGAAGTGGAACATTTGCCTCTATCCTGCAGTCTGGGAGGTGGCTTCGGTACAGCTTTCAAATGCAAAGCTCTATTAGCACTTCCAGATGGAACCACCTTGGCCAGTAAGACACCATCACTATCCCAGAAATTAAAAGAGCAGCTTCTGAGCACAGTAGTAAAATGAAGGTAGCAAATGAGTGTCAACAGGCCCAGTAGGACATAGCAAATAGCAGCCATTCAATAAATATTAAGCACCTGTTATGTGTCAGGCTCTAGGGATTAACAAAAAGGCAAAAGACGGTCCCAGCCCCCGAAGAGCTCACTCTGATAAAGGAGACTACGTAAACAACAATGTACAAACAGGATCTAGACAGCATGAACTGGAGATACTCAGCAGGGGGAAAGGGTCTAGAATTAAAGAGGATGGGGAAATGTTTCTTGTAGAAGGTGGGATTTTAGCTGGGACTTGAAGGAACTCGGAAGGCAAACGAGCAAAAATCAGGGAAAATTCCTGGAGTCTAGAGATAGAATGTCTTTTTTTTTTAATTGACTTTTTCAAAGTTATTGAATTTTTAAAAATTCAATTTTATTTTCAGTTTTGAATTCTCTACTCCCTTCTCCCACCCACTGAGAAGGCAAGAAAAACAAAACCTGATACAAATATGGAGTGTCATTCAAAAAACAAATTACCATATTAGCCACGTCCAAAAAAGGGGGGGGCGGGGAAGAAAGGAAAATATGCTTCGGTCTGTCCTCTGAGACCTCTGTATCTGGAGATGGGCAGCATGTTTCATCATGAATCTTTTGGAATTTGATCATTGGATTGATTGTTTCAGTCGTGTCTAACTCTTTGTGACCCCATTTGAGGTTTTCTTGGCAAAGATATTGGAGTGGTTTGCCATTTCCTTCTCTGGCTCATTTGACAGATGAGGAAACTGAGGCAAACAGGGTGAAGTGACTTGCCCAAGGTCACACAGCTAGTAAGGATCAGGCTAGATTTGATTTCATGTAAATGACTCTTCCTGACTCCAGGCCCTGCACTCTATCCACTATGGCACCATCTAGATCCCCTACTTAGTCTTTGCAATATTGTTACTTTGTAGAAATCATTTTGGTTCTGCTCACTTCATTTTGCATCTTCATAAAAGTCTTCCAGGTTTTTTTTTAAATCATCTCCTTTTCATCATTTCTTATAGCACAATAGTATTCCACCACCTACATATGCCATAACTTGTTCAATTATTCTCCAAATGACGAGCTTCACTTTCCAAATTTTTTGCCACCATGAAAAGAGATGCTATAAATTTTTTTTTTGTACAAATGGGTCCTTTTCCTCTTTCTTTGATCTCTTTGGGGCATAGACCTACATGTGGTATTACTGGGTTAAAGGGCAGGCACAATTTAATAGCTTTTTTAGGCACAGCTCCAAATTGCTTTCCAGAATGGTCAGATAAGTTCACAGCTCCACCAACGGTGCACTAAAGAACCTGTTTGTCCCACAGCCCTTCCAGAATTTGTCATTTTCTGTTTTTGTCAATTTAGCAAATCTGATGGGTGTGAGGTGAAACCTTAGTTATTTTAATGTGCATTTTTCTAATAGTAATTTTGAGCATTCTTTTTTAAAAAATGTTTTTTGTTGATATCTTCTATTTCATATATCATCATGGTTATCCCCAGTATCTCTCTCCCTCCTCTTCCCAGAAAGCCATTCCAAATAAAAAATAGTAGTTTTTCCAGGTTGGTTTTTATTTATTTACTTATTCATATATCTTCTTAATTTATTTTTAACATTCATTTAAAAAATTTTAGTTCCAAATTCTCTCCCTTCCACCCCTCCCCCACTCATCAGGAAGGCAAGAAATGTGATTATCAGTTATATATGTGAAATCATGAAAAACGTTACCATATTAGCCATTTTGCAAAAAAAAAAAAATGATGCTATCTATCCCTTCTCTTTTTTCCCTGCCCCCTCTTTAAGAATCTATTTAGCTTCTGACTAATGCCTCCCTTAATCTATTCTCCCTTTTATTCCTTCCCCCTCTTCCTTAACCCCTCTCCCCCAAATTTCCCTTTGGGTAAGATGTATTTCTGTACCCGGCTGTGTATGTATGTAAATTCTTCTCTCCTTTAACCAGTTCAGATGAGAATAGGTTCAAGTGTCACCCTTCCCCCCTCCTAAGTGTTTGAACTTCTCTTTGTGCATTCAAGATAATTTCTCCCATTCTTCCTTTCCCTTTCCTCCTCTCCTCTTCCTCAACCATTCCATTCTTTTTTTGAGCTCATCAAAACATATAAGAATGTAAACAATTTAATCTTATTTGGTCCTTTATGATTGCTCCCTTATGTTTGCCTTTTTATGCTGCTCCTGACGCCTATGTTTATATGTCAAATTTTCTCTTCAGTTCAGGTCTTTTCATCAGGAATGCTTGGAAGTCCTCTATTTTGTTAAAGGTTCATTTTTTTCCCACACAGGAGAATACTCAGTTTTGCTGGCTAGATTATTCTTCATTATAATCCTAGATCCTTGGAATATCATATTCCAACTTTACTGCTTCTTTAGGATGGTGGTTCCATAATCTTGTGTGATCCTAACCATGAACTGTTCATTATGTCTGGCTGCTTGCCATATTTTTTCCTTGCCTGGGAGTTCTGGATCTTGGCTATAATATAATATAGTATTCTTTGGAATTTTCATTTTAGTGTTTCTTTCAGAATGTGATTGGTGAATTTTTTTTCAATTTCTACTTTGCTCCCTGGTTCTAACATATCGGGTCAGCTTTCTTTTATGATTTTTATGATGTCTAGGCTCTTTTTTTGTCCATGGTCTTTGAGTAGTCCCATGATTCTTAAATTATCTCTCCTTGATCTGTTTTCTAGGTCAGTTGTTTTTCCTATGAGATAATTCACATTTTCCTCCATTTTTTCAGTTTTTTGACTTTGTTTTATTATTTCTTGATTTCTCATGGAGTCATGAGCTTCCATACAGCTGACTCTAATTTCCACAGTTTTTTCTTTGGTAAGATTTTGTATTTATTTTTCTAAGTTGTTAATTATGTTTTCATATCTTTCTTCCCCAGCTCTCAGGTTTTGTCCTCATTTTTTCCTTTATTTAGTTTTTTAAAAATCAAATTTTAGCTCTTTTTAAAAATTCCTTCTTTAACTCCTCTAGGGGGGCAGCTAGGTGGCACAGTGGATAGAGCACCAGCCTTGAAGTCAGGAGGACCTGAGTTCAAATCGGACCTCAGACCAAACACTTGACACTTACTAGCTGTGTGACCCTGGGCAAGTCACTTAACCCCAATTGCCTTAAAAAAGCAAAACAACCTCTTCTAGGAATTCTTAGTGGACTCATGTCCACACTGAATTTTTCTTTCAAGTTTTGCTTGAAAATGTTTTCAAATTATTCTCTTCTATATTTGGCATCTTGAGCTTCCCTGTCACTGTAATAGTTCTTTATGGTCTTTTATGGTTGTTTGCTTATCCTGCTTCTTGACTTTGGACTTGATATTAGTGCTGGGCTCTGCTAACTTCTGTGTGGGGAGGATGTGTGGACTGGCCTTCTGTCCTCTTATATCCTTCTGCTGCTTTCACAGCTCTGGGATGGGGGCCTAAAAGCTTTTAGTGCTCCCAAAGTGGTGAGATCTGAGATGAGTTCTGCTCCCTGCCTTCCTGGCCTGAGTTCTGTAAGCTCCTGACCCAAGTTTTGGTCTGTTCACTTGTTCATGGTTGGGAGTTTCAGTAGACAGCTGCTGGACTCAGTCACTATGAGCCTGCTGGGAGGTTCTACAGGTTTAGAATGACTGAACTGCTGATTCCCTTTTGATCTGGGACTCCTGCCCTGGTTATTCCATGACAGGCCTACATGCTGGGCTAAAGGCTAGAACAGAGAGCTATGGGATGATAGCTACTGAGGATGGATGGATCAAGTGAGGGTTTTTTGAAGCTGGGGAGACATGGGCATGTTTGTAGTCAGTGGAGAATGAGCCAGTAGAGAGGGAGAGATTGGAAATGAGTGAGAGTCTGGCCTCAGACACATACCACTTACTAGTTGTGTGACCCCTGGGCAAGTCGCTTAACCCCACTGCCTAACCAAAAGAAAAAAAATGAGTGAGAGAGTGGGGATGATAGGGAGGACAATCTGTGGGAGAAGATGGGATGGAATGGGGATCACTTGTACATATAGAGGGTTTCCTTAGCAAGGAGAAGGGGAATCTCTTCATGTGAGAC